GCTGACGCTCTAATCCCTGAGCCAAGCCGACCAAGGTAAAATTTTTGATAATATCCATGGACCATTATAATTTTCTTTACTTTTTTATTTTTTTAACAAAATTAGTGTTCTTGTCACTGAATGCTTTCCATTTAATAGCAATTTATCTTAGCATTGGGTATCCATATACACATGTAAATCAGCATTTATAAGAATATTATTAATTATGGTGAAAACACTTGACAAACTAGTATATAAAGGGTAAAAAGTTGTGAGTGCTTTAGTAAACTGGAGAAATTTGTTTTAGCTCCATGGTTTTCAAAGGGATGATCTCGCATTTTGGGGACAATATGAAAATAATGTTTTGTGTCATTCTAATCAGTAGAAACTGACTGAAACAGCTGGCTTTTAGCAGGTGGGTGATAGAGGATGGATGTTATAAATCCTTCAATGCACAGAACAGTTCCATGATCAAAAAATTGTGTTGCAAGGTTTGTACGATTCTAAGAGTTCTTGCATAAGTTAATATGATTATAAAGGCTTTTAATAAATATCTGAGCCTAGAACTTCATTTTACATACTGACACAAAGTATTTTACAGAAATTTAATAGTCATTGGATTAATCAGGAATGAAACTCTCATGTTAACCAAGAAAATATTATGTTTTATTCATAAATTTATTTGAATTTGTTAACCATATTAGAAAATCATATTATCCTAGTTGAATTTCTAGTAATTAACTACTATCATAGCCTCCATTACAGCTGCCACACCCTTGGTAATTCTGTGTATGGATGCAAAACTCTAAGCATTGATGTATCTTCTAGTTCTGTCACTTCTACAAAGGATATATTTTTATACATAAATATATTCAATAACAAATAAGTGTAGTTTTTATATCTTCTTTTATTAGAGTTTGGTCATTATCTTTTTTTTTTCTTCAAACATTAGGTGTGTAGACAGGTTATACCTATGGATTCCACTGTATGAAAAGAGGGTGCCACAGAAAACAAAATTATATAATAGACAGAAAATGTTAATTTAATTTGCTGTAGAGTATCTATTTTAGAGAGATGCTGATGAATGAGATACTGAAGGATATGAGGGCTCTATTTAAGTCAGAAATAAGGATCTGATTTTCTCAGTCATGGGAATGTAAACAAATTGATTGTTCTGGGCCTCCTGCTGATAAATGATACTGACTCATATTTCCAATTGATTAATATACTTATGGATTGATATGTAGAATAAGTTTCTCAAAATTGTTATGGAAAAATGCAGATTCCTAGTTCTAGTGAAGATGTTCTCCTGCCAAATCTTCATCGTAGTAAAGGGTAGTGCAGTTCAAAACTGCTAAGACTTAAAAGGAAGGAGTCATTCTAAATTAATTTCTTCTCCTACCTCCTAAAATTAATGTTAGAAAATAGTACAAATTATTTCTTTCAAAATATATTCTGAAATGGTCACTCCTCATTATCTACTAGGTTCCTACTCTCTGACCATGATCATATATTTCTGATCATGGCATTATTTCATGGTTTATTTAGCTTTTGTTAAATTAGAGATTATTTTAGGAAGAATCAAATGATAGGCCTTTGTATTCTAGCACAGGGTATCTTGTCCATTTAGCAAAACTAACTCTCTCTCTCTCTCTCTCTCTCTCTCTCTCTCTCTATATATATATATATATATACACACACACACACACACACACACACACACACATATATATGTGTGTATGTGTGTATATATATGTATATATGTGTATATATTTTAATAATACATGTAGGACACTGTAATTATCCCAATCCAAATACTTTTAAAGTGAATGAACACTACTAATATTTAATCTATAAAATATGGTTAAACAGGGCATGACATGGGCAAACTTATATGCCATGTGACAGTTGCTTAGACTTTAGGGTTTTTTGTTTATTTGTTCGTTTGTTTGTTTAGTTAGTTGTCTTGGGGGACAGGGCAAGTGAGAGTCACTGAAGGGAAGTAACTGTTTTGTCATTTTATTTCAGGTAAACCTATGCACATTTGATATGACTGGTCACTCTCTTACCTGCTTAATAATGAATAAATTTAATCATCTTCTGTGAAATAGATGTAGTACTAATAATTTTACAAATGAGAAAACTAGAGTAAAGAGAAATTTATTTATGAAATAAGTTAGGAAAGAATTAGAACCAAGTTTCCCTCTCCAAAGTCAATGCTTTTAATCTATGAAAGTGTCAACTGCCTGCCATTAACAATCTCAATGACCCGTGGCAAATTGCATTAAATGACTAAGTTTTTCAGAAATACAAGAAGAAAGGTTTGAACTAATTGAACTTTAACATTCTAACTGGCTCCAAACACCTACCATCATATAAATTTATGAGTGTAATGACTTAAGTTCAGTAGGTTAATTTTCATTAATAATAACAAGGAAAGTGATTTGACATTGCTCTTCTCAACTCATAGACGTGTTTATATAATTATCTTAAGTGCCCTTTGAATAGTTGGCAAAGGATACTTGAAAATCACTGTACTTTAGTCCAAAGATCATCACTATGATTTACAATTTTTTCTCACTTTATGCTTTCTTTTTCTTATGCTTTATTGGTGTGTATATGCAACATACAAACAAATAAATATGGTTATATTGTATAATGTACAATTATATATCAAAATAGTTCATAATCCACATTACCTAAAGTGGTGCCTAGAATACAGAGAAGATCAAAGAATGTTTGTTCAATGCATTTAGTAAATGACTGAGGTGCTTAAAAGATATGTGTGCACAAAATGAAGAAAACACAAGTTAAAACCAATACCTGTCTAACTCCAGAAAAACATCCCTCCTTTGTTGATAGTCAGTCTGGCTACCATCATTAAACCTGCAACTATTTTCAATACATTTACATGAATAAAATAACTTTCAAAATTATCTTAAAATAAAGAAAAGTGCATCAAAGACTACAAGAAAGTATTGGCTAAATTAAAATTACTATAGGAATTAATTTTATGTTTGCTGTTAGAGCAAAGTTTTATCAGAATTTTCAAATTCATTGAAACCAATACTTGAAAATAAACAAATAATGAACCTATGGATTGCATTTATGAACTCAAGGAGAGAGATATTTAAAAATTTAAAGCAATATAGCTCTAAGAAATATTTGGTATTATCTTTCATTTGTATCTTAGATGAATAACTGCATTGAGTGAAAAATTGAGTTGAATAATGTTATATATAATAATATACATACAGACAATATATTGTAACAGTCATGCCTCATCATCCCATCCTGTCAGACTAGGTTAATTTCCTCCTAAGAGTTTCCTGAATATTTGTATTTAATTCAACTGCAGAGAGCATTACATTCTACTCTTTGTCACCTGTCTGTTCCCCTCATTCCTCCCTGAAAATTCTAAGTGTCATTTAAGCATTTTATTTATTTACTCAATTGTTATTTATTGAACACATTTTCTTGGGTCTTCTCTCTATGCTAAGCACTAGCTTCTTCTTGCATGGTGGTACAGATTAAGTGTTACCTGCCTTCTGAGCTCTTACATTATAGGCTACTAAAGAATTGAGATGTATAAGCATTTGAAATAAAACCCGTTAGTATTCTGTTAGGGTGAGAAGAGAACACATCTTTTGAAGTAAAGCTAGGGGTTCGTTTACTTCAATATCAATTCATATAAGAGTGAATGAATAAATAAAATAAATGCTATCAATAACCTATTATTAATTAAAAACCCATTTTTTCTTAGGCATGAGACTAAACATTTCAAACTTGTTTTGTGCAAATCTCAGCCTATCGATAGTGATGTTATTGACTAAAAGTGCCTGGGTACTCACTTTTCTGCTAGGAGTGTCTGGGGTGCTGACGAGGGCCCACACTACTAATGAGAAAACCAACGGTGCTGACTAGGGCCCACACTACTAATGAGAAAACCAACAGATAGTTCCCTACCAAAGCCCATGTTGCAGGGGGACTGGCCCTTGTGGCCATTATGATTGTAAGAGGAACCTCAGCAACAACCTTCAGGGAACTTGGAAAAAACACATTTTATCACAACAAATCCTGGAGAATATATAGCGGGCCTGGGCTACGTATCAAGGTCACATCTTCTGTAAATTCATAGAGAGCAGACCTGGGGTTCAGCCTTGATCAGGGTCCAGGGTGGAGTGGAGTGCACAAGGTTTCACAGGTTCACTCTTTTAGTGAATTTAAAAGGTAATAGGAATTTAAATGCCTGAAGGGAAAAGCAAGGTCACACAAATGTCAGTTATCTACGTTAACTAGGGCTTTCTACTTTTTTTTTTTTTCTTTATTGATTTTATAGAGGAAGGGAGAGGGAGAGAGAGATAGAAGCATCCATGAGAGAGAACATCGATTGGTTGCCTCCTGCATGCCCCTCACTGGGAATCAAGCCCACAACCTGGGCGTGTAGCCTGACCAGGAATCGAACTGGCAACCTCTTGGAGCATGAGTCAACAGTCGACAGGGTAGGCAACAACAGCTTTCTGAAAAGGGGAACTTCCTGTGTTAGACAGCCTGATTATTTATCTAGTTATGTAGTTGGCAATATTATTAAAAGTAATGTCATTGAAGTGGATGCCTTGGCACTCTAAAGCTTAATGTCAAGCACTTTTATTACAAAACAAGCAAATAAATAAATAAATAAATAAGCCTAATTTCAGGGACTCACTATAACACTTACTACATATATTTTTACAAAAATCCTGACACACACCCACACACACCACATCCTGTCATTTAGCCTCAGCAGGGTTAATAATTACTATTCTAGGTTACATAACAATTAAGTGGAAGAACCTGCATTTGAATCTAGGCCTGTCTGTAGCAAAAGTTACTTTTATTCATTATTCTGCACAATAAGCAAAATTATAAAGCCATCTTTATTATATTTCTCCTCCTGTATATTTGAGTGATCATGCAATAAGTATTTTAAATATGTTAACTTATATATGACTGATTGGTTTTTTCATTTTTGCATGTTTCAGATGCAGCTGTTCTCTTGGTTACATTGACAGATTCTGTATTCTCAGCGTTGGAGATTGCTTAGGAAACAAGAGTACATCAATGCATGGCCTCTGCCTGGTGCATTTGCACAGCTGTAACTGTAGCTGTCTGCAAGTATATGAAAGCAACATCTGTGAAATAGAAACTGAAGATTGTAAATCCATGCCCTGCAAAACCGGAGCAACCAGTCTCATTTCCTGCGGCTGCACAAGTGTCCCCGGATTTACAGGCAAGTCTTCCCCGAGAAATCAAATTCTCTAGTGGGAATGTTAATACATTTATTTAACATATTTCAACTGTTTCTAATGATTGGTGCTGTAGCCTGCTTTCTCATTTGGCAGAGTAAAAATATCTTCACTTGGAATAATAGAGTTGCTTCTTTGCGCAATTACACTGCTGACTACACAGCCTTGGCTCATGCAAATGAGGCTAATAAGGCCAGACTCTACCATTTAGAAAATGATGTATATGTCAAAGGTCTGAATAGAAAAACAGACTTCATAACCTCCCAATAATTTTGCCTAAACAGCTTTAGTACTGCCCTTCAAACTCCTCTTTGGCTGCCTAAGCACATTGAGAGCCAATTTTTTTTTTTTTCCAGTTTGATAATAAAACTTGTTTCAGTATTTTCTAGGTCAGTTTTATGCCCCACCATTAATAAGATTAAGGAAAAAAAAAAAAAAAAAATCACCAACATACTATTATCTTCCGTAAAGTCATAGATGAGATTCACAGTGTCTATGTAGTAATAAAGCAGCTTTTTATATAAAAATATAAGAAATTAACCATTCAAATTTATATTACTTGCAATTTTTATGCTTGGTCTTACATTGAAGTGATTGTTCATAATAATCTCAAAACTTCTTTACTATACTTGCCTTATACAAAGCAGTATGGAGGTCATACAGGAAGAAGCTAATGTCACTTTTAGATCACACCTAACTTTCAGTAAAATAACTTTTTTAAAGTTTGCTATTTCATTTTATTGAGCAGACCCAACTTTAAAAGTTATTTGGATTTTCATCTTAAAATTAGTTTCCCTGTGTGATATTTAAAGTAATATGCTGAAAGTTTGGGAGGCAATTTAAAAGATAAGTTCCAAAAATGGAAACAGCGATATCATTGGAATAAACATATTGCCATCCAGATTAGCTTTTTAAAGATGAAAATATGTTTGAGTGTGCAAATTCTGGTAAGCTTGCTAAAACGTTGGTACCATTACTTCACAGTTCACATTTCAAACATGTTCTTAGTAAGAATAAAATAACAGAAAAATGTGCTAAAATTATTGAAATATAGGTATCTGCCTTAGAAAAAACACATATATATGTGTGCATATATATTTAAATACAGACATACCTGTTTTTATTTTTATTTATTAATTAATTTTTAATTGATTTGTTGTTCCACTTATTTATGTATCAAGACTATATTTTGGTTATGCATTATTATCATCATTAAATATGTGTTATACATATATACTTTTCATATGTTTATTTATTTATTTAGAATACGTTTTCATTGATTTTTTTAGAGAGAGAGGAAGGGAAAGAGAGATAGAAACATCAATGTGAGAAATATCATTCAGCTGCCTCTTGCTTGTCCCCTACTGGAGATCCAGCCCACAATCCCCAGGGAACGTGCCTGATCAGGAATTGAACCAGGACCTCTCAGTCTATGGGATGGCACTTAATCCTCTGAGCCACACCGACTGGGCAATTTTTCGTATGTTTAAACTACACACATATGCAATACGTATCATTGATTTATAATAGAAAATTGGTGCAACTCACTTTCCAGTTGGAAATGAAAAATATGATTACTTTTCAAATTAAACCCAATTTAAGATTTATCAGATGATATTATCAGGAAGACTAGTATTTTCTATGAGGTTTATTTCCCCTGAATTGGAAAGAACTATAAAATATGGGTTTCCAGATTTCAAAGTATTCAGTTGTACTTCTAAACTCTTCACACAGTAAAATATCAAATAACCGCTTAAGTTAAATTTTCCCACAGATGCAGAACATTATGGGTGCAGCTTAAATCTAATCCTCCTCTTTCTCTTTTCTCCTGACCCTTTTCTCTCCCTCTACCTGGTTTCTCCCTCTCCATCAGTTTTCTCTCCCTTTACAGTCGTCCCTCCCACTTTGCACTTCGACTTCCGCGGCTTCACTCTATCGTGTTTTTTTCAAATACACTCATTAAAAAGTTGATCAAGACAGTGGAAATGATACAGCGTGCGCTCGGTTGTCTGAGTCTATTATACACCTCATATTACAATTACAATTAAAATTACTGTATGTAAGGACTCTAGACCTATGTATTCGAGTGCCCCAGGACTCCAACACCAGGTGCAACCTCTAGAGTCTGAAACGGATTAACCGGAATAAATGAGAGACGACTGTATCTGAATTCTTCTACTTTAACCAGTCTCTTCACCTGGTTTCTCTTCCTTTCATTTACATCTTTCCCTTTTTCCCATGCCATCTGGTTTCTAACCCCTTTTCTTTTTTTCCCTCAGTCTGGTTTTTCCTTTTCCATTTATGAACTCATGTGCTTTCTACAAAGATTTGTAAGTTGTTACCATGTCTTTCAAAGGTATAATCACCTCTTTTTGACCCCCATATTTTGGGGGATTTTGACTTTTACAATAAAAATTGTGGTCTCTGTATAGAGCTTTAGCCAGAGGATCGCAAACTGTAGTGCTCATGAGACTCACCTGGAAGTCTTGTTAAAACAGATTGTTGGCCCATCTCCAGTTTCTCATTCAGTAATTCTAGGGCTCAGTAGGGTCGGTGATGCTGATGCTGCTGGTTCCTGAGCCACACTTTGAGAACTACTCTTCTAACCCATTGAATTATATCAACAAAGAGGGCTTCTATGGATACTAAACTGTAAAATTCAACTTCAAGTTTGAACTACTACTCAACAGAGCATGAGGAACCCATCTGGTCTAACCTTCTCTTGTAGAGATCACTAACCCCTGGAGTAAGAAGGTGATGCAATCTCATGGTAAGACCATATACTTAGGTGGATTCCTGTATGATTTAAATTTGATTTCAGTACTATTATCTGAAATTTCCCAAAGATTTCAAAAATCTGGGACTAATTTCAGTGGATGTTTTCAAGCTATAGCCTTTCTGCAGCTACATGTTATTCGTGTCTATGATATTGTAGCGATGCATCAAAATTTGATTTTTAAGTCTTTTTTTTTTTTTGCTTGTCATTTTGATACTTTCAACACTGCCATTTTGAAAGTCTTTTTAGTCAAAATAAGAGCTCGATGCTAGTAGGATAGACATAGAATGATCTTTGTCTTTATTTAAAATATTTTGGGTGTCACCATCAGAAATGTACAGACCTGTGGAGAATATTTATAAAAGTTTATTTGAACCAATCTGACAACATATGCTTGCTGGAGGGGTTGGGCAAGATCTTGAATGCTCCAGAGAATAAGCTCTGCAGTTTCTTTTATGCATTTGAATTAAGGAGGAAATGTAAGGAAGATTATATAAAGGTGGGAGAAAGCAAGGTGGAGATTGGATTGCAGGATAGAAAAGGTTATTTGCTATCTTGAGAGTGGTTTTGTCTTAGAAGGAGGGTCTGAAAAGAGGCATTTTAAAGGTATGTTAACCTAGATACACAGAAGACAGGACTTGCTTCAGGCAAAGATAAGCCTTTAATGAAGAAGTGGTGGGCCTGTGGAATTTATGATCAGATCACCCTGTGTGGTACAGCTCCCAGAACTGCTTTTTTCACCTACATGTGTTTCTCCTGCATTTTGACTTGAGTTAGTATGTTCCCTTTTTCCTCCTCTCAGGATTTTGTTAACTGGAAGAGGTTGGGGGCTGTTTTTTTGACCAGAAGGAGGATCCAAGTTATTCTACACAATTAGACCCAGCTTTTCCCTCTTTGGAATTGGCCTAACCTAAGCCTCCTTGATATACTACCTTTAAGCAAACTTATTCTCTACTTTAGTCTTATATATTATAAATTTGACTTGCACAAATCTGTGGTTCTCTACTCTCCCAGATCCAGCTAGACTATTTTCTTCTGTTTTAATATTTAAGTTACCTTAGCAATAAAAACATTTTCAAGTTCCAGGCATCTCTTTTTTTTCACAGACCTTTTTTTCCCCCTTTTATCTGTTAACTCCTGCTCCTATAGAAACTGAATAGTATGTTTCAACCAAATTTGTTCTTCAGCTGGAACCCAGGTCCCTTTACTACTGTTCTAATACGTTGGCTTATTTTTCAGATGTTACTCCCCATATGAGGTATTGTGACTATTCATGTTGTACCTCAGGCCTTTGGTGACAGGACACTGTGGGTTGTTTTATATGGTGGAGCTCATTGGATCCACTTCATCTCTAATTGTTTTTCTATCAAACCTAGAACCTAAAAACCAAAGATAACTTTTGCCTCTCTTTAACCCCAGTTAATTTATTTTGTTTGTTATTTAATAATGAAAAGTTTATGGCTTGAAACAACCATCCTCACTTCCCAGAGATGAGGCCCAGAAGTGTTCTTCTCTTTTCTTTGTCATTGCCCTACCGATTTTATGTTGTAGAAAGAACAAACTTATAGAAAATTAATATTAGACTTTATGTACATAGGTTTATAACATACTATATTTAACATAAATTGTGAACATCACTGGATCTCTATAAGATACATACATATTGATCTTGCCAGTGTAGCTCAGTTGGTTAGCATGGTCCATGCACCAAACAGTTGCCGGTTCTATTCCTGGTCAGGGCACATACCCAGGTTTCTGGTTTGATCTCCAGTTAGGGTGCATGTGGAAGGCAACCAATCAATATTTCTCACTCCCTCTACCTTCTCTCTCTAAAATCAATTTTAAAAATATTAAAAAATATATATATCCTCACTTTTAATGGCTTCAAATTATTTAATTAAATGAATGCACACTACAAATAGAATTGCTAGGTCAAGGAAATAGATATGGATTATTGTTTGTTTTTTTGTTTGATTTTGTTTGGTACAACAAAACCCTTATTCTCTATTATACATTCACCAGCAGAAAAATTACATCTTTCTATTTCTAATTTTCAAAATTTCTTTTACAAATTAATCATACCAAGAATTGTTTTAACATTTTTTTCAATTTGATATGTAATATTTTATCTTATTTTTATTTCTTGGAGTAATAAAAAAAGGGTTGAGTGTTCACAATATGAAATTCTTCTATTTGGAATAATTGTAT